GCTGGCTGGCTGGATGGATGGGTTAAAGATAATGGATGGATGGATGGATGGATGGGTTAAAGATAATGGATGGATGGATGGATGGATGGATGGATGGATGGATGGATGGATGGATGGATGGATGGATGGATGGATGGATGGATGGATGGATGGATGGAAGTGGAGGTGAGAAACTGACTCAAGTGACTCGACTGAACCGGATCACTTTAACGAGTGATTCAGATTAACCGAGTCCGTAAATGGATGGATGATTACAACAAAGACACTGCGGTCCTGGCGAGGAAAATATGTGTAAGATAAGGTCCTTTATGGGTGTCACGCACGCGCACGCACTCCGTGCTGCCCTTCAACCTCAATCCAAGGAGAACCTGAAGCTGCAGCTCCAGGAGCCACCAGCAGGGGGAGGAAGAGGAGTTCTGCTGCTTTCCTTGTTGTCACTTCATCTTTCATTTTAACTCATCTGTAATTAATCCACAAAACGCTAAAACAACAAAGAAACTATCATTATACATTATATCTCATAATGATGTGATCTTTAAGTCATAATTATAAAACAGATACATTTTAAGAAGACTTTGTTTTCTCTAAATGTTCAAACAGAAAAAACCTGATATTTAATTCAACCTTTATTTCTACAGGTTAGTCTCGTTGAGCCTCGAGGACTCATTTACAGAGACCTGATTTAAACAAAGAACACAGATGAGGAACAGACAACAGTAGACAATCATAAAAAACACAAAATGAACAATAGAAGAAATAAAAACAGATACGTTATAAGGCGGTGTAGAAAACTAAAACTAGGAACATGTCTGTTGGTTTTTACCAGGAACTTATCAGATGTTTAAAATCTTTTAGAGGTCAAGGCCGAGAGCTTCAGATCTTTTTGCAAGGTGTTACAGTTTTTTTTGTTTTTTTTTTGCTGTTTCAGTTGTTTAGCTGTTTATAGCCTTTAGCTGTTTATAGCCTTTAGCTGTTTTTAGCTTTTAGTTGTTTTTAGCTTTTGGCCATTCTGTCTTCTAACAGCTCAGATTTAGTTTCTCTTCAGCATAGAGTTAGCCCCGCCCCCAAACACCAGGTGAGTGGAGAGGAAGAAGACAGATTGCACCCCCCACCCCCACCCCACCCATCCAACACCTGCTGCTGAGGTGGGGAGGGGTTGATAGCAGGGGGACAGGGGGGAGGGGGAGCAGCAGGTAGGGCGGGAGGACGGGGAGGAGTAGGGAAATGGAGCTGGCGCATGCGCACTACGCTCCATCCGCTCCGCATGGCTCCCCCCCCCCCCCCCCCCCCCCCCCTTCCCCCCAGCATCAGTACCCCCCCCCCCCACCCCCCCTCTCTCTCCAGCCCGGCTGCTGCTTTGCGCGCTGCCGGGAAACATGCCGCGCGCACCGAGAAGCAAGAGGGTGTTCAGCCCGAACCAGAACCAGAACCTGTTTATTACACAGGAGGAAGAAGACGGATCTCACGCGCACCGTCACGCACGGATAAAAAAATCATCAGTACAAGAAGCGGAAGGCGGAGACTCTTCCTCCCTCCATCTCTGGAACCGAACCGGAGGACCTACTGGATCTCGGTGTTGGACGGGCCCCCTCCCTCACGGACCAGGACCGGTTCTAGCAGCCAGCTCGGCGCGGAGACACCATGAAGGACCGAACGGCGGAACTGCGAAGCGTGAGTGTGGTTCTTGTCTTTCTGTGGGTTCTGTGGGCCTCCGTGTCCTCCTCCTCCTGTGGCCGCCGCAGCATCACGGCCTCTCCGTGGGGGGAGGAGGGGGAGGCAGAGCTTTTTTTTTTTTTTTGCATTTAGCAGCTCTGCGGAGGTTCGGCGCGTGGGGAGCCCGGATGGAAGTTCTGGCGGTTCGGATGGCTCGTGCCTCAGACCGGACTTTCCCATGTTCCGGGTTTTTCCGGTTCTGAGCGCAGAGGCCCGGTTCTGCTAAGCGCGTCTCCAAACGCACCCATCCGTGCTAATTCTAATTCGGGCCGTGCACGTCCATGCGTGCGTGCCGAGTGGGGGTGGGGGGGTGGACGATGAGAGCGCGGAAAGAAAAACGCAGTGATTTTATTTTACTGTGAAGGCCGCAACTTTCATCCTACACCCCCCCCCCCCCCCCCCCCCAATGGTGTGTGTGTGTGTGGGGGGGGGGGGGGGGAGGGGGTCTGAATGGATCCAGATTAGGATCCAGATCAGGATCCTGGATGCAGGGAGCGGAGGATGCCGCTCCGCGTGCTCTCCGCTGCTCTTCCTGCACTAGTCGTAGTGGGGGGTGGAGGAGGCGGGGTGTTGGGGGGGTCGGGGGGTTCAGGATAGCCTCACCCTTTTCCTTCCCGCCTCCCTGCGCCGGGTGAGAGCGTGCGGGACTCTGCGGTGCGATGCGGCGTTTCTGGACCGAACAGCTGATGATGGGCGGGTTGGGGGATTTTTAGGAGTGTGTGTGTGTGCGTGTGTGCGTGCGTGTGTGTGTGTGTGTGTGTGTGTGTACTGATCAGCAGCTGATCACTCTGCAGCAGCTCCACGCGGGTTCATCCGGGTTCAGAACAACTGATGACTGATCTGATGGATCAATAGTTTCTGATCAGCAGCTGAACATGAAGAGAGTTACTGCCCTGCTCTCCCCCTCTTCCTCTTTTTCTCCTTCCTCTTCCACTCCCTGTCCTCATACTCCTCTAATGCCTCTTCTTCTTCTCCTCTTCCTCTCCTCTCCTCCTCTTCCTCTCCTCCTCCTCCTCTTCCTGTCCTCTTCCTCATCTTCCTCTTCTTCTCCTCCTCTTCTTCCTCTCCTCCTCTTCTTCTTCCTCTTCCTGTCTTCCTCTACTTTTTCATCTTTCTCTCTTCCTCTCCTCTTCCCCTCCTCCTTGTCTCTCTCTTCCTCTCTTCCTCATCCTCCCCTTCCTCCTCTCCTCCTCTTCTTCAGTTTCATCTCCTCTTCCTCTCCTCTTCTTCCTCTTCCTCTTTTCCTCCTTCTCTCCTCTTCCTCTTTTCCTCCTTCTCTCCTCTTCTTCATTTTCCTCCCCTTTTTGCTCTTCATCCTCTCCTCTTCTTCCTCTCCTCCTCCTCCTCTTCTTCCTCTTCATGTCTTCCTCTCTTTTCCTCTATCTCTCTTCCTCTCCTCTTCTTCCTCCTCCTCTCCTCTTCCCTCCCTCCTTCAGGAAGCTCCTCCTTTCATCTGTTTCACTTCTTCTCATCCGTCGTTTGTTTCCTTAAGGACGTTAAAATTCATTTTAACAGCAGCCGTTGTTTTTATTTTATTTTTCAATCAATCATTATTGATTAAGTTTCTTTGATTTTTAATTGAATCGTTTCATTAAAGGAGTTTGTTCAGTTTCAGATTCAATGTTTAAACAGAAAATAAAAGCTGGAACTTAGTTTAAGTAAAGTTAAAATATAATAATCATAACTTTGCTCAGCTTGTCCTTCAATTAGCTGAAGTTGTGCTCGGCTTTGTGTTTGTTTACCTACAAAAACAGCCGAAGTGCCAGAAATCAGGTGACGTCCGTGGAGCGAACGTTTGGGATGAGAGTTCGACGTTTGAAGCGTTTGATGTTTACGATCAGATTTGGTAACGAGCAGAGCCACGAACTGTCAAAACATCCGGAAAACTACCGGAGAGCTCATTTAAACTGCACGGTTTGATCCAAATCAGGAAGTCGTATCTTACAGAGAGGATCTTTAAGAAGCCCCAGATTGTAGATTCACGCAGATGATGCGGTTCTGTTGGCGTCTTCGGGTCACGACCTTCAGAGCTCGCAGCCGAGAGTCAGCTCCTCCGAGTCCGATGGTTCTCAACAGAAACCAGGAGGAATACTTCCTTCGGGTCGGGGAGTCTTTGCCTCAGGTGGAGGAGGTCAGGTATCTGGGCATCTTGTTGCTGAGTGATGGTGGAGCGAGCCTCATCCTCAGTAATGAGGGTGTTGCTTCGGTTTGTCATGGTGAAGAAAGACTTGAGTCCAAAGGCAAGATTTACTGGTCTGTCTTCACTCCAACCCTCACCTGTGGTCAGGAGGTTTGGATCAGGACTGACAGAACCAGATCCTGGGTACTTCCTTTCTTCGTAGGGTGGTGGTGGTCGGGGGGGCTCAGCCTTAGAGATGCAGGTGATGAGCTCCATCTTCCATGGGGAGCTCGGAGTAGAGCTGCTGCTCCTCTGCATCTAAAGAAGTTAGCTGAGGAGGTTCATTTGATCAGGACACCTCCCTTTGGTGGTTTTCTGAGAAGCCCCAACCCAAAACTCTCTGGGATCATAAATCCCCTCTGGTCTGGGACCACCTTGGGATCCCCCAGGATCGAGGCAGGTCTGGGTTTCTGTCTTGGACCCGAGGGCGTCAGAAGCATCCGTAATGTGGGGGGGACACAATGATGTGTGTAGGTGTGTGCGCGCGTAAAAAAAGGTGTTCACTAGTGAAAAAAAAAAGCAATATTTCCCCTAGATTTCCTTTAATTCCACACATTTAAAACATATTTCTCACCAAGTTTGTGTAAATTCAGCTGTAGGTTTTAAAGACATTTTAACTTCAATACACTTTAATACAGAGTGTCAGGTCGGCACTATTTGTGTTTATAGAGAAATAAAAACCATCACCACTGGACTTTTTTTACTTGTGTTCAACACTACTCATCTAAATGATGTTTCTCATGAAGCTTGAGGACAATAAGGTGTGGGGTTTTAAAGACATTTCAACTTTAATGCACCTGAACACACCACATCTTACACCTACAGCGTCTGACAGCGTCACAGTTACAGCTAAGATAAGATGCTACAGACGTAGCTCCTCTCAAACATCCTCCTAACATGAATATATGTTTATGATCAACCCCCTGGTCAACCACTGCCCGCACTAAGCTGCTAAACTGGCGAGCGAGTAACACAGGTGCATCCACCTCCTCCACCTGTGCGCGTTTTCTGCCGAGGCAAGAGGCAGGAAGCGACGGTGGAGAGTTGGAGGTAACCAGGAAAACCTGGAGTGGAGTTTTAGTGGCTTGAATATTCTCCTATTAATTAAGTGGAATGGATTCGTTCACGAAGAAAGAAAAACTGCGCCGCCTGAACTAATGTTTTATAGTAAAAGTGTGTGTGTGTGTGTGTGTGGTGGTGGTGGTGGGGGGGGGTGTGTCCAAATGAACGTTTTTTTAATGTGGGGGGGACTTGTCCCCTTCAAATATAATGGTTGCGACGCCTATGCTTGGACCTGATGCCTCTCTGACATGAAGACGGGTCTGGAGTTTCCCCCTTTCTAGAAAATTCTTCATTAGTTGAAGCTGGGGCAGCACGGAGGTGCAGCTAGTAGAGCTGCCTCCTCTCAGCGAGCAGGTCGCCCCGTTCAAATCCCGGCCAGTGGCCTTTCTAGGTTGAGTTTATATGTTCTCTCCGTGGGTTTTCTCCAGTTTCCTCCCACAGACCAAAAACATGCATGTTAGACTGACAGGAAACTCTAAATTGTCCCTAGGTGTCCCTGTGATGGACTGAGACCTGTCCAGGTGTCCCTGTGATGGACTGAGACCTGTCCAGGTGTCCCTGTGATGGACTGGAGACTTGTCCAGGTGTCCCTGTGATGGACTGGAGACCTGTCCAGGGTGTACCCTTCCCCTCGCACAATGATTGCTGGGCATGGGCACTGGCGACCCCCATGACCTAAAATGGAAGAAGCGGGTAAAAGATAATGGATGGATGGATGCTTGGGTCCCTTTCAAACTATAAAATACATATAAATGTTTTTCTACAAATAAACAGCAAACTAAATCCTTAATCTTAAACGTTTTTGTTCCAGTTCGTCAATCTGTCTTCATCTGGATCATTTCATAATGTGTCTTCTGACGTCTGAGTTAGTGCCGTTCCCACAGATTAACTTTAGAACCAGATTTCCTCCATCACTGAAGCTATTAAACATTTGGTAACAACTTCTTTCCAGCTTTGTGCAGAACTAGATTAACTTCATCTTTTAACTTTTGCACGTTTGATCTGATTAATATGTAGTTAGCATGTTAGCTGTTGGTATGCTAGCTGTTAGCATGTTAGCTGTTAGCATGTTAGCTGTTAGCATGTTAGCATGTTAGCATGTTAAAGAACATAAATATAAATTATTTGAGATTTTTCTGAAATACAGATGTTTAGATTTAGTCACAGATGTGTCGCTCCAAATCATTAAAACAATCAGTTAATAATACAGAATACGTTTTATTTAAAAAGCAACACGTTAAAATCTTGTGGTTTTTTTTTATAATTTATTTGATGTTTCTAACCAAGTTTATGATTTAAATAATAACTTGAGCAGCGTTAGAACGAACTGAAGAAACACGAGAAGTTCTGAAAATAATGTCGAGGATAAAAATCTAATCAAACCGTTTGACCCGATCTGCAGAAAGCCCGGGTGGATCAGCTGATCTGCAGAAAGCCCAGGTGGATCAGCTTATCTACAGAAAGCCCGGGTGGATCAGCTGATCTGCAGAAAGCCCAGGCGGATCAGCTGATCTGCAGAAAGCCCAGGTAGATCAGCTTATCTACAG